GTCCACACCGCCCGTCGGGCGCGCGCCGCCCGCCTCATCTGCATCCCGCCCGCCCACCTCATCTGCATATCTCTCAGGCGAGTCCGGAGTCCCCTCCAGGCGTGGGAGGGACGCCCAGCTGACCGACTCCGGGCCTCGGGGCAGCGCTGAGAACTGCGGAGGGACGAGGCTGGAAAAACCCCACTGCGCGAGGCTGACGCCAAGTGACACCTGAAAGGCAAAACCCTGCGCGAACAAAAATCCTGGGGTTGGCACAGGACAGGCGCTTCATAACTATTTGGGGGGTAAATGAGTGAATGGACGTACAAGCAACTCTTGAGGAGGAGGAGATGAAGAAAAATAACGCTTTAACAAAGACTTGCTGATTATCCAAGATGAATACTACGGCTAATAAAAATGCATACCAATCCTAAGTGGTAACTGTTTTGCTGCTATCAGCAATGACTAACTTATGGAAATTACCCTGAACAGCTTTCATAGTTAATCTCACAGTAAAAACACAACTAACTAAATCTTGCTGTGAAAAACATGTAATAAAATCATGAGTGGAATGGCTGGTTCTATCTCCTCCATCACTTGAACACTGTGGTCCATTCTCTGTTCTCATCTTCCCCTGGAGTGCCCTAATGCTCAGTCATCTCTACCCAACTTGGCCATCTCTTCTCTGTCTAACTTGGCCATCACATCAGACCTGTAGCTTTTAAACACCACTTTTGTATTTTCAATCCTCTCTTCTGAAATCCAGATTCATTTACCCAACTACCTTCTTGACACTCCACTTAAATGTCTTAATAGGCATCTCCAATTTAACTGGAACAAAACCAAATTCTTGATTCTTCTCCCACAGATGTTTCACATAGTCTTCTCCACCTCCATAAATGGAATATATATCGTAAATGCCATCATAGCTCAGCACTTCTTGCCACTTCCACTGCTACCACCTAGTCCCGTGGTCGGCAAACTGCAGCTCGCAAGCCACATGCGGCTCTTGGCCCCTTGAGTGTGGCTCTTCCTAAGCCTTAGGAGTACTCTACCGTATTTGCCGGCGTATAAGACGATTTTTTGGCCCTGAAAAATATGCCTCCAAGTGGGGGGTCGTCTTATACGCCAGGTACACTTCAGATAGACTGCCCATAGTGCTTGCCCCGTGCCATAGTGGCCTCCCGATGCCCGCCCACTTCATTCCACATACCGTTCAGGCATCAGCAACGCTGCTGGGTGTATGCTCGGCTGTTATGCGATTTTGCTGTTATGCGATTTTACCACACTCGCAAAATCGCACACAGCCGACCATAACCCCAGCAT